TTTCAGTCCACAGGCCAACGCTCTATCCACTGAGCCACACCGGTTTTGGCTTGCCATTTTTTTTTTTTTTTTTTTTTTTTTTTTTTTTAAGCACAAAGGGCTTACCCAGGTCTTTCCGGGAGGATCCGCTCCGCTCCGTGACAGCCCTGGCCTGCCTCCTGCACATCTACCCAGGAGCTGAAGAATTTTCAGGAACGCATAATAAAGACCCAGAGGGGAAGCGGGCGTTCAAGACTGAACATGAGCTTCGACTGAGCGACTGAGCGCTGCCAGCAAGGGCTCCCGGGGGGACTCCCCGAGACCAATGAGGTGTGAGCAGAGGTAGTTTTTTTTTGTTTTTGTTTTTGTTTTTTGAAAGGGAGAGGAATGAGGGGTCCCCGGGGGTGTAAACAACGCCAATGAAAGGACCAGGAAGGAAAAAAGACGACGCTCTGCCAGCCAGAGGGGAAAAGGGAAGAACATGCCCTTTGATTGTACTGTCGGAGAGAAATGAGGACCAGGGAGGATCATTCCAAACCCATTAAGACACGAAGGGAGAATTAGATCAACAAGCCCATCAGGAAGCTGAGACGGCGGAATGGCTGCTGGTGGGGGAATTGCCGCGGAGAAGCAGGGCCATTTATAAACACGTGTATCCGAGGGGTGGGGGCTGCTCCCGGGAGCTGTCAGGATCGCAAGAGGAGACTGTCGCCGAGAACACGGTCTGGGGTGGGAAAAGCTCGGTGTGGTGAGCGCTTACCCCTCGGACTCTGCCCTAGGTCAGAAGGCTCGCCGTGTATCATCTGCCCAAGATAGACACGGAGTGGCCAGATGGTGATGATCTCTGAACGCATAACAATCTGGCCACTCAGAGTGTGTGTGTGTGTGTTAGAGACTCGGTGCATGAATTCGTGCATGGGTGGGGTCCAGTTGTGTGTGTGAGTGTGTGTGTGTGTGTGTGTGTGTGTGTGTTAGAGGCCTGGTGCATGAATTCGTGCATGGGTGGGGTCCAGTTGTGTGTGTGTGTGTGTGTGTGTGTGTGTGTATTAGTGGCCTGGTGCATGAATTCGTACATGGGTGGGGTCCAGTCAGCCTGACCAGCGGGAGGCACTGTCCTTATCACCTGGTGAAGGACAGCCTGGTCGCACTGGCCCCCTGGGACAACTGTTTCACTTGGGGGAGAAGGGGACATGGGTTCATGGGTCAACACTCACCACTGAGCCACACTGGCCGGGCATCACCATGAAACCTTTTGAATCCAGCAAGCTCCTCTGGATCCAGACCTGCTGACTCCATCCAAACTCGGTTTCCACTGCCAACGTTTGGTTCTGGCTGCCTTTTGCACAGACCTGGACATACTGGCGGTCGCCTGCGGTCCGTGTTAATTCTGACTCTTGTACTCCCCTCTCCTACCGGCGACACTGTGTGCTTTTAAAAATATATATATTTTGTTGATTTCTTACAATACATTTCTAGAGAGGAAGGGAGAGGGATAGAGAGTTAGAAACATTGATGAGAGAGAAACATCCGTCAGCTGCCTCCTGCACACCTCCTACTGGGGATGTGCCTGCAACCAAGGTCCATGCCCTGGACCGGAATCGAACCTGGAACCTTTCAGTCTGCAGACCAACGCTCTAGCCACTGGGAGAAATCGGTTTCATCTGGCCTCAGTCTTTTTTTGTTGTTGTTGTTTAATATATTTTATTGATTTTTTACAGAGAGGAAAGAAGAGGAATAGAGAGTTAGAAACATCGACGAGAGAAACATCCATCAGCTGCCTCTTGCACACCCCCCACCGGGGATGTGCCCTCAACCAAGGTCCATGCCCTTGACCGAAATCGAACCTGGAACCTTTCAGTCCGCAGGCTGACGCTCTAGCCACTGAGCCACACTGGTTAGGGCAGCAACACTGTTTTGGCTTCTCTCCCCCTGGACCTGAACCTACCCCACACCCCTCCCTTCAGACGACACCACCTCTGTGTGGCCTCAGGGGCCCGATCCCTGTCCCCTGCCCCCTTCTGGCTCCTGCAGGCAGAATTCCCCTCCGCAAAGGACTGCACAGCCAGAGCCCTTTATTTAGAAATTCCCCGGGGCCTGTGCTTCCATCACTTCGCTTGAAAGCCTATTTCACAGTCTAGTAGCTCTCTCACTGTCTAGGGGATTTCTCTTAATGTCTTCTAAAAATGTCCTTTTCTTCATTTTAAATCGATTACTCCTCGTTATACCACTGATACCACCATAAATAACATGTCAACTTTTGGCAAGTATATATATGTATATCTTTTCCTCGTTTAACTTAAGACTGTATTTACATGAGTCCTCGGTCGCCCCGGTGGATTTGGCTCAGTGCATAGAGCGTCGACCTGCGGACCGAAAGGTCCCGGGTTCGATTCTGGTCAAGGGCACCTCCCCAGTTACAGGCTCCTCTCCGGCCCAGGCCCTGGTTGGGGCTTGTGCAGGAGAGAACCCATCCATGTGTGTCTCTCTCTCTCTCACATCCATATTTCTCTCTGTCTCACCCTCTCTCTCCCACTCTCTCCAAAAAAATCAATGGTGAAAATTAAAAACAAGAAATAAAAATGTCATCCTCGGTTCTCACTTAATCTCACAGCTCACTGTGATGGAATTCTAGAGTCTTCACACGTGTTACTGAAAACAGGTGACCCCCGAGAAAGGCAGCTGGGGTCTGATGGGAGAATGCCCCCCCCTCTCTTTCTCTCTCTCTCTCTCTCTCTCTCTCTCTCTCTCTCTCTCTCTCTCTCTTTCTCTCTCTCTCTCTCTCTGGCATAACCCAGGAACAAACAGGGACTGTCCCACCAGAGGACCTGACTGCATTTTATTTCCTTCCAGCTTCATCCTAGAAGAAAACAAAAAAATATTTAAGCAAAACAGTTGTATAAATGATGACACATTTTTTTTTTTTTACCCTAAACATTTTAGCCAAGAAAACGAATGGGGCCTGAGCAGCAAGATTAAAAGATGTTTAACACAACCCTCTAGAAGGTTACCTAGGCAGTAAAAAAGAAGTTTAAAGCACATCTCTAACCCGGCCAGTGTGGCTCAGTGGTTGAGCATCAACCTATGAGCCAGGTCACAGTTCACTTCTCAGTCAGGGCACATGCCCAGGTTGCAGACTCGGTCCCCAGTAGGGGGCGTGCAGGAGACAGCCGATCCATGATTATCTCTCGTCATTGATGCTTTTATCACTCTCTCCCTCCCTCTTCCCCTCTGGAATCAACAAAAACATCCTATATAATAAAAATCTAATATGCAAATGGACCAAATGGCGGAATGACCGGTGCCTATGATGCACACTGACCACCAGGGGGCAGACACTCAACACAGGAGCTTCCTGTGGGGAGCGCTGCTCAGTCAGAAGCTGGGTTCAAGGCTGGCGAGCGCAGTGGTGGTGGCAGGAGCCTCTTCTGCCTTGGCTGTAGGCGGGCAGTAAGTAACAAGGGGTCCTAGACTGGAGAGGGCACAGGCGGGGCTGAGGGACCCCCCCACCCGCCCTCTCAGTGCACAAAATTTTATACAGCCAGCCTCTAACATTTAATAAATAAGTAAAGCACATCTCTAGCCACAGGATGTATCGCATCGCAGTGACGGATCAGCAAAGAAAGGCTGAGAATGCCACGTGGCAGGTTGTACAAACAACATATACATGTGTGTGTTCTTTGATACATGGTTCTAGGAACAGCCCGACCGGTGAGAACATTCCTGCCCAATCCGAGTGTTTGGAGAGGCAGGTCTCGAGTGTTTAACCACCTTACGGAGCGAGAGGAGTCTCCTGGTCTCAGAGCAGAGCACTGAGGCTTTGGAATGCTTTTCCTGGGACTGCAAAAAAGGCAAGCACGCGATCACCAGTCGCGAAGCTTTTCCACTGGGGGTTTCGTGTCTTTCTTTTGTTTTGCTCGGGCATATGTAATGGGGAACGTGGCTGTAATTATTCCCGAGGGCTGAAACACTAATCTCCACCGCGTAATTGAAATTTCCTCCGAAGCAAAGTGTTTTTCCTGGATCCTCCCCAGCAGAGAGAACATCTGAATGCTGATGGTCCCCCTGGGGAAAGGGATATATATTCTCTCTCTGTCCCCCTCTCTCTAAGAAGACGATTCCTTTGGTTTCCATTGCCCCTTATTGGGAACCTCGTAAGCAAACACGACTCTCTCTTCCCTTCTTGAATATTTAAGTATCTATGTGTCAAACAAACGTGTATCACGTGTACTGCACCCAAATCCGTGGAGCTGTGTGAAAAGCTGGGTACGTGATGGGGAATGAGACACTTGTCTCTGTCGTCAAAGAGGTTACAGCCTCGTAGGCAGTTTGGTTCAGTGGATGGAGCATCAACCTATGGACTGAAGGGTCCCAGGTTCGTTTCTGGCCAAGGGCACATGCCTGGGAAGCGGGCTTGATCCCCAGTAGGGGGTGTGCAGGAGGCAGCTGATCAATGATTCTCTCTCATCATTGATGTTTTTATCTCTCCTTTCCTCTCTGAAATCAATAAAAACATATTAATATTTTAAAAAAGAAGGTAGAGCTGGGGCTGGTTTGGCTCAGTGGATAGAGCGTCAGCCTGCGGACTGAAAGGTCCCAGGTTTGATTCCAGTCAAGGGCATGTACCTTGGTTGCGGGCACATCCCCAGTAGGGGGTGTGCAGGAGGCAGCTGATCAATTATTCTCCCTCATCGATGTTTCTAACTCTCTATCCCTCTTTCTCCCTCTCTGTGAAAAATCAATAAAATATATATTAAAAAAAAAAAAAAAGAAGGTAGAGATAGTTTAGAAAAACACTTTTATTTTTACAAGATAAACAACTTAAGTCTTACCAGATTAAGTCTTCACGATCAACACTGTCAGATTTAAGGCAGAACACTAAAAATCAAAAAAATGACAAACATATCTCTTGAAAAATTATTCACATTATTTGTGGACTAAAAATAAAGTTATTAAAATTGGCTCACTAACCATACACATAGGTTATAAAAAAAAAAATTAAACGCTTTAAAAAAACACACATTTTACACCGTATATCCTGGAAGTTTATTTACTAGTAATTCGCTAATATCTTTGCATTTCTCGGAAATATTTAGCGAAGCAATTTCATCGCTGTCTTCTTCAGAGCCATAGGATTTACTGCACTCTGACGGATTCGAGGGCTGATAGGAACTCACTTGGGATGTCCCAATTGACTGGCTTTTTCCTGAAGACCTGCAATCAGTTTGCGTTTTCACGGCGCTGCCTGGACCCGTCTTTGTAGCTTTCGAAGGATGCGCGCTACTTTGGTCCAACTGGTTTTCTTTTTCCTCGGTCCAACAGGAAGACGAGTCACTGGTATTGAGAGAAGATGCGTCCTCCAAACTTTCACCTCGAGTCTTGGGAGTATGAAACCTTTTGGATGAGCGCACTGGTGATCCGGCTGAAAAAGGCGGAGTAGGAATAAAACTCCGTTCGCGGCTCTTTTTCCTGGTGGACAATCTTGTTCCACTAGACCTGCTGTTACATGGGCTGTGTGTTGCGTCTCCTGCCAATGGGGTCCTACCCTGAGCCCATAAAATTCTACTGGTGTCGTCAGTACAGAAATCTTCAGAGGAGGAGGGGCTGGTGAAGTCATCTGAATAGTGCAGTTCTGAGATGCTTCCAGAGCAACTGTATTTACTCGGCTGGCTTTCACTCGCGTCGGCAGGAAGAATGCCGTTCTCGGTGGTCTTGTCTCCTGTACCTTTCTCTCTGAGAATCTTGTCAACAACTGCACCCTGCTGGAAAACCGAGGGACTCTGGACTTCCGTCTCCACGCTTCCTTCCGAAACGTTTGTAGGAGCCAACCGTTCTGGAGCGATGGGGTCTGCGGGGCTCACAACGTCCTCCGATGAACCGTCGCCGGTTCGAGTCTCGCCACCGCCCACCGTCTTTTCGGTGGCACGTTTCAGCTGCGTTCCTTTGGCCGTGCCGGGGTCATCCGAAACTCCCCTCGTGGACTTGGAAGGAGCGCCATTTCCAGCGAGAGACGTATCCGCTTCTACATGCTTATCTTTAGGCAGCCGGTGTGGCTTCTGGTGCTGTTTTGCCAAGCTGAGCGCTTTCGCTCTGGGTGCTGGGATCCGGGGTTTGGCGCCGAATATTTGCACCTGCATCTTCCGGTACTGTTCCCGCTTCTCGTGGACCATCAGCATCCCCGGATTCGTCTGCTTTAGACGCAGCTTCAGCGTATTGGTTAAGCCATAGAGCAGCTTAGCCCGCGGAGCCGTCCTGGAGGGGGCTCCGTGGTTCTTTTCAAAACACTGACCTTTCTTAAGCTTCGCGTCCTGGTTCTTTCTATCCGGAAGACTCGCTGGCTTTTCGGGGCCCTCCACCGGAAGCCTCTCTCTCTTGGATTCAGACTTAGCTGTGGCTTTGGCAGGAGGAGATTCTGGCCGGTCCTTCTCCTCCGTCCTGTACAGCCAGGCTAAGTGCGGGTGGATGTGCGTCGGGCTTGTGACGGGCTGGTTGTACAGCACGGACAGCTCCACCAACAGGGCGTTCAACAGAGGCAGCTGCCTTATCGTGTTCATTCGGTTTTGCTCGGGTTGAGGGTGAGCTGGGCTGGGCTGGCCTGCCTCCACGTCCTGAGCACGAGCCAGAGGGTTAAGCACCTCGGGAGTCTCCCGAGCCCCAGAATTCGTACGTGTCAGGAGGTGTGCATGCGTTGGGGGATCGACAAGTTTTTCTTCTGGGAAGATGGTACCATCCAATTCCTCAGCTACGTTCGCGTGACACTGAATGGTGACTTTACCCCGTAGGGGAGGCCTCCTTTCCGGGGTCACGTGAGTGTAATACAGAGGGGGAGGACAAAACGTGTTGGTCTCCACGTCCAGGTCCGTGGCTTCCGTGTCTGGGCGGCCAGTCCTGCCCTCGCCGCTGGCATCTGGACGCACAGACCTGGCTGCGCCCTTCTCCACGGAGCCCGTGTCGCCTGAGTTGGCCTCCTGGGGGACTACGACCTCCTTCAAGTCCCTCTGTGCCTCCTGCTCGTGAAAACTCTTCGGGGGCCCCTCTGGGTCTCCTGGACTTGGGTCCGAGTTGGGCTGCGGCAGCTGTTTCTCCTGCTGGGCTCGGCAGCTGCCCTCCACGGCCCTCCGCGCCTTCCCATCGTGCCCTCCAGCCCCGCGGGCAGTGAGTGGCCGCTCCAGGTGGCCCAGCAAGCTGCTCCCCAGGTCGGTCAGGCGGTAGGTCAGCGAAATGTGCCCCACGCGCTCCCCGACGTGGTTGTGCAGCGGGAAGCTCCCCCGATGCCCGTGGGAGCAGCAGGAGGCGGCGGGGCCCAGGACCCGCAGGGCGGCGGCGGCCAGCGAGATGCTGCAGGTGCCCAGCAGCCGCGGGGCGGGCGTCGGGCGCCCCGGGGGCAGCCGCAGCACCAGCGTGTACAGCGGGGTGGCCAGGAGCCGGCCGCACAGGGCGGCGGGGTGCAGGCGGAACAGGCAGGACTTGCCGCGGCCGAAGCGGAGCAGGCCGGGCCGCGGCTCCGGGGCGGCGGCGGCCGGGCCCCCCGGAGGGTACACCAGCAGCGTGGGGAAGTCCAGCAGGCGGAAGGCCACCGCGGGGCACAGGGAGCGCGGGGAGGCTTCCTCTCCCTCCTCCTCCTCCTCCGCCTTCTCCTCCGCCTCCTCTTTTTCCTCTTCTTTCTCCTCCTCCACCTCCAGGCGCACCCAGTCCACCAGCAGCTCCAGCGAGAAGAGCCGCTCGGACATGGGGGCCGCCATTGCTGTTGCCCCGGGAGACGCTGACGCGGCCGCGGCAAACCTCGGAGGCTGGTCTCGCGAGAGCGGGGAGGAGCGGCGCTTGCGCCTGCGCCTGCGCCTGCGCCTGCGCGGACTGGCCCCGGAGGCGGAGGCGGAGGCGGAAGTGGGCGGGGCCGCCCCTGTCACTCTGCGCGCTGTGGCTGCTGCAGGGATAGGTCGGCCGCTGGAGGTGTTTTGGCGTCCAGACTTGTCCTCCTTCGGTTGCTTATGTTCATACCGAGGCTCATGAGAAAGCATGTTTTATTTTTGTTTATTTGTTTGTTTGTTTGTTTGTTTGTTTTTTGCTTTGGTCATGTTCTCAGCCCCGCAGTTCCCATGCAGTTTAGGTGCGAGGTCAGGACATGATAAATGCATGCATGCATATTTGAATTCAAAGGGATTCAGGGCTCCCTTTCCAGCTCCCCAGGCTATAGAGGGTCAGGGACCTGTCTGCAGTCGCCTCTGCCTGGGGAAGGAAGGCAGCACTGAGGTAGAGGGTCAGGATTCTCTCTCATCCTTGATGTTTCGATCGCTCCCTCTCCCTTCCTCTCTGGCCAGACTATTATGATCTCTGAACGCACCATGACCTGGCCACCCAGTGTACTTATATAAAAGGAAAACTTGCAAATCTTGGTATGTCAAAGGGGCCAGGAGATAGTGGCCCCCAGCCTCTGGCGAGGAATTCCTCTGCTTCTTTCTAACTACCCACAATGCAGTTCTTATGCATGGAAACACCTTATGTTATGCCCTAACCGGTGTGGCTCAGTGGATAGAGCGTGGGCCTGCGGACGGAAGGGTCCCAGGTTCGATTCCGGTCAAGGGCATGTGCCTTGGTTGCGGGCACATCCCCAGTGGGGGGTGTGCAGGAGGCAGCTGATGGATGTTTCTAACTCACTATCTCTTCCCCTTCCTCTCTGTAAAAAATCAATGAAATATATTTCTTAAAAAGAGAGAGAGAACAAAAGGCAAACGTGTCAGGAAACACGGGAACCAAGGGAAGATGTTCATTCGTGTTGAGCAGCCAGAGCAGCGTGGCTGGAGTTCCAGGAACAGCAATTAGCCCTGCACTCAACCGGTTGTGCTAAATGCTTCCCTTTGGGCCGGTTGTGCTAAATGCTTCCCTTTGGGCCCGTTTTCACGGCGCGAGGGGTGCCTCCTGCGTGTTTTCTGTGCGGTTTCTCTTCACGTTCAGCCGCCTGCCGTGCTGTTGCCGTTCATGGCGCCTTTGGGACCCAGAACTAGATTGAGTCCATAGGAGCCACGGAAAGGGACGTGGCTGGATAGCAGTTGTGTTGGGTCCTTGGGGATTCAGGCACAGGCCGCACCTGCGGCTGGAGGTGCTCCTTCCTGGCTCGGCCGTGTTTGCCCACAGGCAGGATGCTTCTCGCAGCCACAGACTGTCAGCCCTGGAAGAAGATAAGACCATCTAGTCTGGCTGGTTTGTTACTATTATCGTAAATATACACAGACTGGCCAGATGATGATGATCTCTGAACGCATCACCATCTAGCCACTCCGTGTCTATCCTATAGAATAAAAGGCTCATAGGCACATTGTCCCCTCCACCAGGAGTGCGACCAGCAGGCAGGCCTGCCACCCGCCTATGTCCCCTTCTCCTGGCCAGGCTGGCCAGACCCCACCCATCACGAATTCATGCACCGGGCCTCTAATATAAATAAATATAAACATAAATATATAAATATAAATATATATTAGTGCTCTTTTGTTAATTAAATGAGATGACGCCTGCAAAGCATTGAACGTTGAACCCAACACACAATGGACCCCGCTTCTGAACCGGTATCAGAAGCTTCTGGTTTCGAAATGGAGGCCACCCTGAGCTAGATTTAAAAACAAAACCACAAACACTTTATAAAAGTTATCTATCCGTTTTTAAAACGTCTCCCCAAACCCCAAAGACGTAGGGGGTTGGCAAAGCAAGTCCCAGGGCTGTGAGGGAAGCGCATTCAGCGCAGGGAGAGGACCGTAGCTCCCCTTTGAGAGAGAAGAAGAAAGCGAAGATTCATTTTCTCCCCAACTTAACGCATTGCCTTTGTTCCTAATAATTAAACTTAAAAACAGTGCCACCTGTTTGTGAGACCTAGCAGACAGGCAAAAGGTGCACACTCCCAAGTTGCGATTGAACAAAACAGGCTTTAAATAAAGCAAGGGAAGCAGGAATTATAAGCTTGTTTGTGTTTACATGACCGTAGGAGACGCCGAGGAAGCTGCCAGAAGCTCTTGGGTTTTCTAAGGAGCACTCCAGGCCTGGAGTTCACGGGCAGCTTGCCAGGAATTAATATCCGGGGAAGCCAACACGGAGGCTCTGAAACCCGGGACCTCCGGCCCCCTCCACCCTGGCCCAGAGGCACCGAAGTCCGCCCGGACAATAGGAAGGGGACTTGGGAGCGGACATCCTGCCCAAGAGAACACAGAGATTTAGAGCAAAAGTGACTGTTTCTGCCCTTTTCCTTGGCATGAAAGGAGCCTAAGAAGTTCTTTGAAAGAAACTGGCAGTGATGGATTCCTGAGCCCTGGGTAATGTCGGCCTCCACCCCTCCTTTCCTGTGTTTTCTCCACTTATTTTATTTTATTTTAAGTGGAGCTGGGATTCCAACTCAGGAAGCTTATCTTCAGAGCCTTTTTAAAAAATATTTTATTGACTTTAAATACATATATATATTTTATTGATTTTTAAAAATATATATTTTATTGATTTTTTTACAGAGAGGAAGAGAGAGGGACAGAGAGTCAGAAACATCGATGAGAGAGAAACATCCATCAGCTGCCTCCTGCACACCCCCTACTGGGGATGTGCCCGCAACCAAGGTCCATGCCCTTGACCGAAATCGAACCCGGGACTTTTCAGTCCGAAGACCAACGCTCTATCCACTGAACCAATCCGGTTTTGGCTATTTTATTGATTTTTAACAGAGAGTAAGAGAGAGGACAGAGAGTCAGAAACATTGATGAGAGAGAACTATCCATCAGCAGCCTCTTGCACACCCCCCACAGGGGACGTGCCCGCAACCAAGGTACATGCCCTCGACCGAAATCAAACCTGGGCCGACGCTCCATCCACTGAGCCAAACCGGCCTCGAAACCTTGTTTTTTTTAAAATATATTTTTATTTATTTCAGAGAGGGAGAGAAAGAAACATCGGTGATGAGAATCTTGGATCGGCTGCCTCCCGCACGCCCCACACTGGGGATCGAACCCGAAATCCCGGCATGTTCCCTGACCGGGAATCAAACCATGACCTCCGGGCTCCTAGGTCAACGCTCACCACTGAGCCACACAGGCCTGGCACGTCAGTTGCTGTTGGTTGCAGTGTGTACAGAGGTGAACGACGAACCCAGGGCCCCCCGCATTGCCAGCGATGCCTTATAAATGTTGCAGGAATGGGACAAGATGTTTGTAGAGGATTCCTTTTTAAACAGCCGGAGACAGAGGCCACCTGACCGGAGTGCACGGCAGGCCCCGGCGGTCCCATGTGGGCACAAACCAATTAAGTGGCGCTCTCGCTGAAATTGCTTTCCCGGCCAGGACGGGGGATGATGGATCACAGGGCACACGCTCCCCCTGTGAGGCTGAGAGAGGCTGCAGGCAAACCCAGCCCCAGGCCCCGGCTGCTTCATCTCGCTGGCGGAAATGCAATGCGGAGGGGCTACATGGGGGGAGAGGGGGAGCCACTTAATTCTTTGCACGGGGAAACCCCCCAGCGGGGTCTCACGTTTGTCCGCGCTCCGGGCCTGTAGGCCAGAAAGAGGGGGGACTGGTCTGCAGAGCAGAGCTGAGGAGGGGAGTCTGACTAGTGAGCATTCTTGACCCCCTGTGGACGGTAGGAATCGCCAGTTTGTTTTTTGGCTGTTTTTTATGTTGCGATGGCAGGTGACACTCCATATTATACCAGTTTCAGACGGCGTAGTGGTGAAGACGTTTACTAGTACATACCTTATGAAGTGGTTGCACCTGGCACCATACACAGTTATGAATTTATGCATGGGTGGGGTCTGGCCACCCACCCTGATAGGGGCCCGGTTGGTGGGGAGACGGGGGAGGGTTCATGGGTAGTTGGCTGGCCAGTCCTGCCCCAGACAGGAGTGGGGGTGGGAGAGGGGTGATCGGGGGCTGGGTGGGCAGGGAAGGGTGGGGGAGATTGGTGGGGGCAATGGGGGCCCCCATCAGGCCAGTTGGTTGCCGCAGCATGCATCATAGAGACTGGTCGCTCACTTGGTGCTTTGATAGATAGATAGATAGATAGATAGATAGATAGATAGATAGATAGATAGATAGATAATAGATTATAGATTATAGATTTTAGATAGATTCCTGGCTATATTCCCTAGGCTGTACTTTTACTAGTGCATCCCCACGGCTGTGTCCCTGTCATTCTGTACTTCATAATCCCAGCATCTTCTTCATCCAGTCCCCAAACTCCCTCCCCTCTTGCCTGGGGTGTTGTTGTTATTGAATATACTTTTATGGACTTCAGAGAGGAAGGGAGGCAGAGGGAGAAAGAGAGAAACATCCATGAGGAGAGAGAATCCTGGATCGGCTGCCTCCTGCACGCCCCACTCTCAGGATGGAGCCCGAAACCCGGGCCTGTGCCCTGACCGGGAATGGAACCGTGACCTCCTGGTTCATGGGTGGTGAGCCTCGGCCGGATGGGCCTGCCAGGGAGTTTGGAACAAAGGAGAGCCAGATGCCCAGGTCATCTCGCTTTGCAGCTGCGGCTGCCAACACGGGGCAGCGGCGGGAACCCTGGGCCAGGCCATCCCCCCAGGAAGCTGCCAGGACCCACGCCTCCTTCGGGGAATCGAACCCCCAGCCCGGGGGACCGCAGCCCCAGCGTCGGGATCTGCAGCCCACAGACGCCATCCCAGGGCAGCACTCGGTGGAGTGACTAACCCCCCACGCACGTCTCCTTGCAAATGCCCCCTCGCCACGCGAGCCCGGCACCGAGCCCCGGGTACCGGCCCGCGCCCAGGGCGGGCCCACCGCCCCCAGCCCCGCCCGCGCGCCCCGAGCCCAGGGCGGAGGACGCATGCGCAGAGGAGCGGGGGAGTGCGCGGAGTGCGCCTGCGCGGCTAGGGGCGGGGCTTCCGGCCGGCGGAGGCGGGGCCTTTGCGGCGATAGGCGGGGCTTCCGGTCGGCGGGGGCGGGGCCTGCGCGCGTGGTGGGCGGAGCTTAGGCCGTGTCTGTTTCCCTTTCCAGGCCTGCCTGTCCGTGACCCCGATCCCGGCCGGGTCCCCCTCTCGGGCGCACCGGATGGGCCGGCACGTGTTCCTCACGGGGCCCCCAGGTAACCCCGCTAGTCGCCTCCCGGAGGCCGAGGGGTGCGCGAGTGGGCGCGCGGGCTGGTGTGTAGGCATGGGGGCGTGTGGGGTGCACAGGGAGGCGTGTGGGTGCACAGGGAGGCGTGTGGGTGCACATGGAGACGTGTGGGTGCACAGGGAGGCGTGTGGGTGCACAGAGAGGCGTGTGGGTGCACATAGAGGCGGGTGGGTGCACAGAGGCATGTGGGTGCACAGGAAGGCGTGTGGGTGCACAGAGGAGTGTGGGTGCACAGGGAGGCGTGTGGGTGCACAGGGAGGCGTGTGGGTGCACAGGGAGGCGTGTGGGTGCACATGGAGACGTGTGGGTGCACAGGGAGGCGTGTGGGTGCACAGAGGCGTGTGGGTGCACAGAGAGGCATGTGGGTGCACAGGGAGAGGGTGGGTGGGGGAGTGTGCCCAGGGGCGTGTGGGGTGGTGGGGGTGCACGGGTGGGGGTGCCGGCCTGGGAGCAGCTGGCCATCTCCCTTCTCAGAGAGGGAACTTTCTACGGATCCTGTGAGCGCCCCCCGCGGGTCTCCTCGGCACCTAGCATCCCCCTCCACCCCCCCTCAGCTGTGCCTCCTGGGCCCACCTTGCAGGCTGTCTCTGGTCCCGGGAGCCCCCTCTGCCCGCGCACAGGGCAGGCCTGACAGCCGGGGACTGTGTGGGGTTTCTCCTCTCTCCCCTCAGGCGTTGGGAAAACCACTCTGATCCAGAAGGCCAGCGAGGCGTTGAAGTCCTCGGGGGTGCCCGTGGATGGCTTCTACACGCAGGAAGTGCGGCACGGAGGGAGGAGGATAGGATTCGACGTGGTCACGCTGTCCGGCCGGCGGGGGCCTCTGTCCAGAGTGGGGTACTGAGATCTATTTTCCCGGCGGGTGTTGCTTTAGAGAGCTCTCTTCTGCCTTGAAGAACCTCAGGCCCTTGGCGTCCTTAGAGCCGTGGTCTGCAAACCGGCAGCTCTGGAGCCACATGCGGTGGCTCTTGGGCCCCTGGAGTGTGGCTCTTCCACAAAACACCACGGCCTGGGCGCGTCTATGTGGAAGACGTGGCGTTAGGAGACGTTTACGTTTAAAAAAATGTGGCTCTCCAGAGACATGTCCATCGTGGTGCTGTTGATACTCGGCTCTGTGGCCGAATGAGTGTGCCGACGGCTGTGTTAGAGGCAGAAAACAGGGTGAAGTCCTCGCCTGAAAAAACAGGATAAAAATATCGCGTTCCCCTTGGAGCTCATTCCACGGGCTGGTGAGCCCCCTCAGGTGTGGTCCTAGTCCCGTTAGTTTCTCACGATGCTTCCGGCGGCTGTTTGGGTCGGCAGCTCCCCGGAGTGTGGTGGTGGTGGTCCCACCAGGCCCGTGGCTGATGGTGGGCACACTCAGCGGTAGCCCTGCTCTCAGCTCTGCACACGTCTGCTGTTTGTTTTTTTTTAAATATATTTTATTGATTTTGTACAGAGAGGAAGGGAGAGAGATAGAGAGTTAGAAACATCGATGAGAGAGAGTCATCCATCAGCTACCTCTTGCACACCCCCTACTGGGGGGATATGCCTGCAACCAAGGTACATGCCCTTGACCGGAATCGAACCCAGGACCTTTCAGTCCCCAAGCCGACACTCTATCCATTGAGCCAAACCGGTTTCAGCTGCTTGTTTGTTTTGAGAGAGAGAGAGAAAGAGACAAAAAACATCGATCAGTTTACCGGTCAACCCCGAAAAAGCCTAGGTGTGTGCCCTGACCAGGAATTGAACCCCCGACCTTCTGATGGCCAGGACAATGCTCCCATCTCTAATGCTCCCATCCCTGAGCCACCTGGCCAGGGCCGTGGGTGGGTTTGAGGATGACGTCGCCTCATGGGAAGGTCAGAGGTCAGTGGGGTAGCCCGGACTCCCTGTCTCCCCAGGGCAGTGCCCCCGCCAGGAACACGGGAGTGCCGGGTCGGGCAGTATGTGGTGGACCTGACCTCCTTCGAGCAGCTGGCGCTTCCGGTCTTGGATGTGAGTGTGGGTTCTGCTCCTGGGCCCCCCCTGTCTGTGGCGGTGCATGGTGGCCCTGGGCCCTGCCTGCATCCCGGGTGCTTACAAACACACAGCGTGGCTGCCCCTGGACTGTCCCGGGGGAGGACAGATCGCCCCGAGATCCAGGCTGGGCAGGAGCTGGGTTTTCCAGGCGGGACGGTCTCCAGGGCAGAGGGATTCTCAGCAACCTGTCCCGTGGGGACTGGGAGGCGCTCTGTCTTCCCGGGTGTCGCTGACTCCCTGGCGTGACGTTGGCCGAGTGAGTGACCGGGGAGGGGCCCCGCTTCGCGGGCCTCTGGTCCCAGTGACCGTCCGTCCGTCCTCCCTCCCAGGCAGGTGCGGGCTGCGGCGGCCCGGGCCCGAGGGTGTGCGTCATCGACGAGGTGGGGAAGATGGAGCTCTTCAGCCGGCCCTTCCTGCAGGCCGTGCGGCAGGCCCTGGCCGCCCCGGGCACCGTGGTCCTGGGCACCATCCCGGTGCCCAAGGGGAAGCCGCTGGCCTTCGTGGAGGAGATCCGGAGCCGGGCGGACGTGCAGGTGGTCAGCGTGAGTATACGCGCCCCCGTGGCCGCAGACGGAGGGAGTGGGCGACCCGGATCCGTGGCTTTGACTGCCCCCCCTTTTAGCTCTCGGATAAGGTGACCAGACTGTCCCGCTTTTGCGGGACAGTCCCGATTCCTAACAATCTGTCCCGCGTCCTGCGGCGTTTTAAAACAGTCCCGGTTTTTGGAAAGAAAAAATCGGTGACGATGTAGGACTCTGAGCCCTCCTGCTTCCTCCCGCAGGTCACCAAGGAAAACAGGAACCACCTCTTGCCGGACATTGTGAGGAGCGTGCAGAGCGGCGAGAAGTGAGCCCTGGATGGGCCCGTCCGTCCAGCCAGCAGCCCTGCCCGCCCGCCCTGCACTGAGCCCCCGTGGGCGCCCGGGAAAGCCTGCAGCTGGTTCCCATTAGGGGTTCCGAGGGCGAGGGGGCCCGAGCTCCGGCCTGCAGGCTGTTTATTTCCTCTGCAGCCGAGCGTCTGATTGGGGTGCATTCCGTCTGATTGGGGTGCATTCCGTCTGATTGGGGTGCATTCCAAGATGAGGAAGGTCCCCGCACCAGATGGGAGCCGCCCGCCCGGTGAGGCTGGTGAATGTGAGAGGGAGATGGTGGCGGGGAGGGGGTGCTGCCTCAGCCGTTCTGCACTTCACCGAGGAGAATCCCAGGTGCACCTGGTGTAGCTGGAAGGGAGGAGTCATCTAATTGTTAAAAAGGATTATTTTGAAAGAAGAGCATTTCAGGCCCTCCCCCCACCACCTCTTATTGTTTCCCTGTTTGCTTATTTATGAAATAAAAATGATCGTGATGTCTATAGACATGGGGTCCTTGTGTGGAGGGACACTCGGCGTGGAGGGGGCACCTTGGGGCTCGGGGGGCGTGGGCGGGGTCAGGGGTCAGACCGGGGCTTCACTTGGGCCAGATCCTTAATCCGTTCTGTGCCTCGCTTCTCGCCCCGAAAACGGGGAGATGGGGCGTCACATTCGGGGTGGCTGTGGCCACCATGGAAGGGACCCCCATTACCCCCGCTTGGCCCCCAGGGAGCCCAGGGCCGGGCCGGGCTGTCGGAGGGCGGTGGAGAGGGAGGGACCCTGAACCCCGAATCGGGGTCACTGCCCTGGCGGGGCTGGTGCACTGGTGTGATTCAGCTCCATGGGTTTAGGTGATTTCTGGTGACGATCTAGGAATTTTTTTTTTTTTTGCTTTTTTATTTAACTTAATAAACCTTTATTGTTCAGATTATTACAGTTGTTCCTCTTTTTTTCACCCCTTCTAGGAATTTCTGTGATTTCCTTTTTTTAGCCGTTAGCATTAGCTACGAACCTGGCCGGGGTCCTTGCTGGGTGTGCAGTGAGGAACTGCCTAGGACTCTTTTTTCACTCTTAATTGTTCCTAAGGACAGAACCAGGGGGCCAGGCTCTTCCGAAGGGAGGGTCCCGGGTGAGGGAGGGGTCCCTCAGGGCATGGGACCGGCCCCTCCAGCGGCAGGAACAGAACACAAAGAACTGGAAGCAGCAGTCACTATAAACCCTTTAATTCCAAAAAAAATAGGCGTGTGCAGGTGGCCCAGGCCCCGGGGGTGGGACTCCTTGGCCTGGGAACAAGCGTGCGCCCCTGAGGACCAGGCCGGCTCTCCCGCGGGGATGTGGCTGTCACACGGGGCCGTGGACACGGCTGCATGCATGTCACCAGTTCACACGCACTAACATAGGTGTGAACACTACAGAGCAGTGAGCGTGTGCGTGGACGTGACTTCCGTACCTGGGCCGGTGGCGGGCAGGGTGCGGTGCCCGCTGGGTGCTCTTTCTTGGTGGCGTGCATGTGTGTGCGTGTGTGTATGTGCGTGTGTGTGTTCAGCTGGTCAGCATGCGGGTGTTGGGCTACCGCCAGGCGGAAAGTGGCGGGTGGTGCATGGCTCTTGTTTAAATCCAAATTCTGGAGCTTTGGGCCTCATTCCCTCCGTGGGGCAGGTGGTGGGAGGGGAGGCCTGGCCCCCTGGCTCTGTCCATCGTGTGAGAGTCTGTCCAAGAACCTGAGATCCGGTGAGCTTCCACTCCGGCTCTCCCCCGTCCGCGGGAGGGCTCAGTGGGTGACTGTTGGCTGCCTTTAGCTTTGGGGGAGCAGCAGGGGGCGAAGGGAAGGCGGAGCCGCGGGGGCCCGGTCTCTCCTACTGCTCGTCCGAGGCGCTGCGCTGGGAGGCCGTGTCGTCCAGGCCCATGTCCTCCTGGCTGGCCCTCCGGCAGAGCACGCCGGGGCCCGCGGCCGGGCGCCCGCGGAGCTGGGCCTGCTCGGCGGCCTCGGCGGGGTCGCACGGGTCTGAGAAGTGCTTCCGGGGAAAAGAGGGGAACGGGCGCTCAGCTAACGGGCACGGCCACTGCCGGCTCCCGTGCCAGGCTGCCCGCCCCGGCCTGCTGAGCGCCAGCGGCAGGAGATGGGGGTGAATGCAGGTGCCCGCGCCGTCCCCAGGGGAGGAAGGGGGCCTCACGCACCTGCAGTAACTGCCCCAGGGCTTTGTTCACCTGCAGTAACTGCCCCAGGGCTTTATTCACCTGCAGTAACTGCCCCGGGGCATCATCCACCTGCAGTAACTGCCCCTGGGCCTCACCACCTGCAGTAACTGCCCCGAGCCGGGAAGGAGCTGGGAGCCTGCAGCCTGACACGGATATGGTACCCCATGTCTCCCAGGTACCCCGGTGCCTCCCATGTGCCCTCCCCCCCCCCCCGTCTCCGCAGCTGGCTGGAACCTGCCTTAGTGGCAGTGGCAGTCCCTTGTGGGGGAGTCCTCGGACCCCTCTCCAAGGTGGACGCAGACACGCAGGCGGCCGCTCGGCTCTGAGCGGACCTCGCTCGGGAGTCCGTGGCCATGGGACCCAGTGCCGAGTATGCCTGCCTGTCCCTGCCCCGTCCCTCCGGCCGGGAGCGGTGTGAAGACAGTGTGGTGGCCCCTGGTCCCCCCACTGCCGGGTGAGGGGGGACATCCCCACGTCCGCGCAGGCTTGGGGGGCCTGAGCTGTGACACCCTTCAGCTGGGCAGATGCCTTTTGTCTGACCTGTCACCTGTCACTGGGGGGGTTTAAGAAGGGGGCCTGGGCCGAAGCCGGTTTGGCTCAATGGATAGAGCATCGGCCTGCGGACTGAAAGGTCCCGGGTTCGATTCCGGTCAAGGGCATGTACCTTGGTTGCGGGCACATCCCCGGTAGGGGGTGTGCAAGCGGCAGCTGGTCGATGTTTCTCTCTCATCAACATTTCTAGCTCTCTATCCCTCTCTTCCTCTCTGTAAAATATCAATAAAATATATTTAAAAAGCCGAAGCTGGTTTGCCTTAGTGGATAGAGCGTGGGCCTGCGGACTGAAAGGTCCCGGGTTCGATTCCGGTCAAGGGCATGGACCTTGGTTGCGGGCACATCCCGGTAGGGGGTGTGCAAGAGGCAGCCGATCGATGATTCTCTCTCATCGATGTTTCTAACTGTCTACCCTCTCTGTAAAAAAATCAATATAATATATTTTTTTTTAAATATATTTTTTAACAATAAAGAAAAACCTTACGCTCTCCCAAAAAAGAAGGGGGTCTGGGCAGCAGGACGGGCCACCAGCCAGGGTCCCCACCCCCCGCCCCTCGTGTCCCCCCCCTCGACGAGGCTTACCCTCTGGGCCTGGCCGGCGGCCCGGGCCGAGGGCCCGAGCGCCAGGTTGACGCTGCTGGAGGACTGGGTGTCGCTGGTGGCGCCGCCCTCGGCGGCCGAGAGCCCCGAAATGACCAGGGCGCTGGAGAAGCTCCTCTTGCCGAACAGGAAGCTGAGGGTGGAGCTGCTGGACGAGCCCAGGCTGGAGCGCACCAGGGCCTCGGCCCGCTCCCGCACGCCCAGGGGCCCGGGCGCGGAGGGCGGCGGCTGCGAGTGCAGGGAGGCGGCCGAGCCGCGCAGAGAGAGCCCGCTGCCCTCCGGCCGGGCGGCCAGGCCATGGGCCGAGGAGGACGCGGGGAGGACGGCCGGGCGGCTCTCCAGGATCGGGCCCGAGGCGCTCAGATAGGGGGGCCGCGGGCTCAGTGCCCCGTGGGCCTGGACGGACTGGCTTCGGCCCTTTCTCTGGCCTTGAAGGAAAAGCAGCTCTGGTTGGCATGGGGTGGGCACCCACGTCCCTGCCAGCGCAGGGAGGTGGGCACCCTGCTCTGTCTGGGCCCCACGAGGACCCCCCGAGAGCCACAGGCTGACCCAGGACACCCCAAGGCTGGCGGGAGACATGGGTGGGAGCGGCAGCCGGGGAAGGGACGCTCCTGTTTGCCGGGACTTTCCGGGCTTTGACACTGAAGTTGCCCTTTCCGGCCGAAACCGGTGTGGCTCAGTGGTAGAGCATCGGCCTGCGGACTGAAAGGTCCCAGGTTCGATTCCGGTCAGGGGCATGTACCTTGGTTGCGGGCACATCCCCAGCAGGGGGTGAGCAGGAGGCAGCTGGTCGATGTTTCTCTCTCATCGATGTTCCTAGCTCTCTGTCCCTCTCCCTTCCTCTCTGTATATAAAAATCAATAAAATGTATTTTAAAAATAAAGATACATAAGTCGTCCGTTCCTGGGGTCCTGGCCCGACACACCAGCAGCGTCCCTCATCCTGGGTCTCTGAGCCCCGTGCCAGGCCCTGGATGCCCCTGCCTCCCACCCGCAGTGACGGAGCCACGAAAGGGGCCACCCCCACGGAGCCGCCCGGCCCGCAGGCCGGGGGTGACCCTCGCTGCGGGCAGTGTGGCCGCCTGGCATGGGGGTCTCACGGGCCCAGGCCCCTCCGGGGAGTCCCCGCCGACTAGCTCAGTGGTCGGCAGACTCATCCATCCACAGAGCCCAATGCCAGCAGCACCACGACGGACATGTCTCTGGAGAGCCACGTTTTTTTTAAACGTAAATGTCTCCGAACGCCACGTCTTCCACACCGACTCCCCCAGGCTGTGGCGTTTTGTGGGAGAGCCACCCTCCGGGGGCCAGAGAGCCGCCTGTGGCTCTTGAGTAAGGTGACGAGTCCGACTTTGAACAATTTGTCCCGAGTCCTGCGGCGTGTTAAAAAAGTCCCGAGTGCCAAAACCAGTGTGGCTCAGTGGATAGAGCCTCGGCCTGCGGACTGAAGGGTCCCAGGTTCGATTCCGGTCAAGGGCATGGACCTTGGTTGCGGACACATCCCCAGTAGGGGGTGTGCAGGAGGCAGCTGGTCTATGTTTCTCTCTCATCGATGTTTCTAGCTCTCTGTCCCTCTCCCTTCCTCTCTGTAAAAAAATCAATAAAATATGTATATATATAAAAAAAGTCCCGATTTTTGGAAAGTTCCATTTT